TTACTCTTCTCCTTATCAAAATGTTGAGACAAACATGATTTGGTGGTTTTTATAATAAATATATACAGTTAAAATTACAACAATTCAATGCCAGATCAAGAAAATGCATAAGACTGTCAAATGACTGAACATGTTAACATGTTAATAGAACTTAAACTTAAACATCATTATTTATTATAACATATTTCTCAACTTGAATATAGTTTGAACTAAATGTTATATTGATTGATTCATCGTTGCTTGTTTAAAGTCCAGTGGTAAACATTTCACGCATTTTCAGTTCAGGGCGAGAACGGAAAAAAAAACATTAAAGGCAGGTTCTGCTAGGTAGGTCGGCCGGGATTCAGGCCAGAAAATCTGGACTTCCTATAATAAATGTGGATATAAAGGATAGGGACAGAAAGTTTGCCTTGCAACAGGCCACAAACTGAATGTGATAAGAAGTCATTTGAAATATCGACACGGTACCAAGTCAGGAATATGACAGTGGTTTTCTATTCGTTTGATGTGTTTGAGCTTTTGATTTTCTCATTTGATAAGGGACTTTCCGTTTTGAATTTTGCTTGGAATTCGGTATTTTTGTTATTTTACCTTTTACGGGTTTATAAAAATTACTCTCTCTATTTCTTTGATATAAGGGATCCTCGGTGGCCGAGTGGTATTAGTAGTTCTACTACTGTACTACTAGACTGTCAACACTGAGGTTGTGAGTTCGAGTTCCGCACGTGGAAAGTGCGCTCGACTTCAATCTTGATTGACTAGGATTGCTAGTTTTCCTGCCGTAGGTCGGTGGTTCTCTTCGGGCACCCCGGCTTCCTCCGCCAATAAAACTGGCCGCCATGAAATAGCCAATAGTGCTGAAAGTGGCGTTAAAACACTGATTTATGTTCAAAACAATAAACGAAAAACAAATGTGATATACAGCAACAAACGATACTCACTGAATCACAAGCTCCTGACTTGGGACAGGCGTATACCGAATGTGGTGGGTTTAAGCTCGCTTGCGGTTGGCCAACCCTCCCCTAACACGGGTTATTGGTGCAACAGCACTACATAAGAACAGATTATCAAAACAGTTGAAAAAAGATTGACTCACCAGATCAATACAAAACATACAAAAACCAACCAACAAGAAGACTTAAGACACAAAATACCGAACTGAGAGTACTCGCAGTTACTGAAAGTTAGTTCAAAGCCAAAAACAACTGAAAAAAAACAATCATGTATCAAGACTAAAATATCAATAAGTACACATCCAAAGAATTTAGTGTAAAGATGTCATAAAAAGTTAGAGAAAAACATTATCTTGTGCAATGCGGAATTTAAGTATCTATATAATATTCAGCTATGTTTTAATTCATTATTTATAGCACAATCATTATTTGTACCGATAAACTAGTATACAAAGATCTTATAATAGTATTAAATTGATAACCTTTTAGAATAAGTTTATTTCCTAAAAGGATCGCTAAGTTTACACGGATCGTATATATAAATAACACATCACCGTGAAAATTAGGCTTCCGCACCTGATACACTTCATACAAAATGCGCTTCGGTCAAGGCTTTTGCATCCCAATAAAATTACAACAGGAGCATTTAATTCTCAAATAAACACTTTCGGTTCTACATCCTGTCGATACTGATATTTTGTCTAAGAAACATGGTCTATTTATTAGCAAAATGAGGCTTTGAACTAGCTTTCAGTACCTGAGAGTATTCTTAGTCGTACTCACCGTCTTTTGTCATTTTATAAGTTGAAGTTTTTTTGTGCTTTGTACTGATGTGATGAGCAAATTTAACTGATCTTATAGTTCGTTCTAATGTTGTTATGTTACAAAGCTGTACCATGTAAGGGGACAGGGTTGAACGATAACAAACATGCATGTTTAACCATGCTTTATCGTTTAACCATGCTGCATTCTTAATGGACTCTGCCTAGCAAGGCACCCTGTAGTCAAGTAGTTGTCGTCGGTCGCTAGCTGTCATTTTCGTTCATTTTTATAAACTTCAATCGGGCCTTTAGTTTTCACTTTTTATTAATATAAAAATGAGGAGATGTGGTATGATTGCCATTGAGATAATTGTCTACTATGGCATGGTATTGGTTGCAAAAATTTAATATTTTTCATTTAAATGCAATATTTCTTATTTAATTGGTATATTTCTTCATTTAAATGCAATATTTTTTTATTTGAATGGTATATTTTTTCATTTAAATGCAATATATTTTTTTCAAATGGTATAATTTTTCATTCAAATGGTATAATTTTTCATTCAAATGGTATAATTTTCATTCAACTGCAATAGTTTTATTCAACTGGTATAAAATGTCATTTGAATGCAATATTTTTTATTCAATTGGTATAGTAGTTTTTTTATTTATATGCAATAATTGCATTATGGGAAATTCTTTGACGTCATAAGGTCAAATTTGCAACAACGTTTGTGATTGGTCGGAAATTGTTTTGATTTCTCCCCTTTCTTTCTAAACATGGGTGACCAAGAATTAAAAAACGCGTCAGAATATCGCCCCTCTAACTAAATTTGACGTTCGTGCGAGTCCTGCACTGGCTGTTAAAATCTTGTGGTCATAACTAGTATTTCTATTGCAAAATTTCGATGGTCAAAACGTTCGGTCCACTTTTAAAAAACCGTTTCATTGTATATTGATTTACAAATATATCGGTTTTTTTTAAATAGATTAGACACCGTTGATTTTCCCGTTTGAATGGTTTTACACTACTAATTTTTTGGGGGCCCTTTATAGCTTGCTGTTCGGTTTGAGCATAGGCTCCGTGTTGAAGACCGTACGTTGACCTTCAATGGTTTACTATGGAACGCCATAGCTGTCTTCCGTTGTTCATATTTAGTATATGCTGTGATCATTTAATTATTTTCAGCGGTTTTTCTCGATAATGAGTGCCCTTTTCATTATGTTCAGTAGTATAACAATTATGTTGAGCAGTAACATCATAATGATCAGTAGAATAATCATTATATTGTGCAGATCTGGTATTATATTCAGCACTTTAATCAATATACTTAGCAGTTTTGGCTTTATGTTCAGTAGGTAAATTATTCTATTGAGTAGATTTGTCTTTATATTCAGTACTTTTGAAAATATCTTCTGTCAACATATTTTTATATTATGTAGATTTCTCATTATGTTGACTACAGAAACCGAAATATTCAGTGGTCAAACACACTTTATAATCAGTACTGTTATCATTATGTTGAGTGAAATAAATATTATGTTCTGTACACTGATCATTATGTTCTGTAAAATAAATATTATGTTCAGTACAAACAACTTTATGATCAGTGGTCAAAATGTTTTATGTTTGGTTCAAAAAATATTATACTAGGTGGTTAATCAATTATATTCAGTGCTTTTTTCATTATGTGGTGGTGGTAGACTTCCGAAAATAACCGAAAACATACGAAGCCGGACAATTTTTTCGGGTTTATTTTCATACTGTCAACATGTCGTCTGCTATACAACGTGCTCTTGCAGAACTTAATCTGCAAATCTTTCAAAAGTTTAAAGATGAGAGGATAGAGGATGACACTTTTCAGCACCTTACTGATCAAGACTTGATCAGACTAGGTGTTGAAACTATTGGTGATAGAATAAGATTGAGGGAAGCGATGAGGAAGACTCTGTCTCTACGTACTAGTACTACTACTACTAATATTTCAAGTACAGGCGCCACCAATAGTTTAGAAGGTAATTGTTCTCTTGTGAGATCTATACAAGATATTTTATCAAATTACCCCCCTTGCATAAATCCTGTTGTCCTTTAAAATAAGGACAAGACTCACATCTTTTGCTTTTTATTGTTTCATTTTTAATGAAAATATTGCAGATGGAATAAAGAACTATGGGTTTTAAATCATTTGGTGCTTTCTTTGAATTAAATAATTATTTTGCTAATTTTCTAAACATATGTAACCTTAATGAATCATTATTTTACAAACAAATTGTGGAATAATTCCCTTGAGCCACCTTTAGTTCAAATGACTCTATGTAAAGTTTGTGAGTAAATACCCAAATTAACACATCCATAAGATTATACCCCTACTCGTCAGATTGGTGCAATCACCTCGTTAGTCCGTCATCCAATTAAAATGTTCGTCAAAGATTTCTCAGCTGTTAATAAAAGGAATTATTTGATATTTGGTCTGAAGCTTTTTATTGGTGAGTTGTACTGTGTAAGTGACTTTTAGATCTGTAACTCAGCCACTTCCTGTTTGCAGAGACTTTGAAATTTCAAAATGTCAAAACTTCTGAAAATTTTTCGACAAGGATTTCTCAGCTATTATTAATGAAACTTAAGGAATGATTTGATATTTGGTCTGAAGCTTGTTATTGGTGAGTTGTACCATGTAAGCGATTTTCATATCTGTTACTTAGCCACTTCCTGTTTGCAGAAACTTTGAAATTTTCAAAATGTCAAAACTTTTTGAAAAATTTTCGTCAAGGATTTCTCAGCTGTTAATTAAAGGAATGATTTATGATTTGGTCTATTATAGCTTGTTATTGGTGAGTTGAACCGTGTCAGCGATTTTCAGATCTGTCCCCCCAGCCACCTTCTGTTTGCAGAGACTTTGAAATTTTCTAAATGTCGAATTGGTATTTACTTTGATTTCCCATACCCAACTCTTACTTCATAAACTTATGTCTAAACAAGACAGGAATGAGTGGGGGTATACTTTGCACGGCATGATCTTTATTTCCTATAGCTCCATCAAACTTTCTGAACAGTTTTGTCGAACATCATTTTAAAAATAAAATATTGTTGGATTATTTCATATTGATCAGAGGATTTATTTTTAAAATGTCTTTAACCAATGAAATTTAAAATAACATGCAACATTGGAATTATTTACATGAAACTCTCTCAACATACAATGATGTAAATCCTAATTTAAGAACAAGTCACAAGTTAATGTGACAGCTTAATTAAAATACAGTACATATATAAATAGAGGCATTTATTTCAGTTGATGAAGGAGTTGCCATCCTTGGTCCATCTTTTTACGCCAGGGTCCAGACCATTCAACCTGAAAATGATTACAACTTTGTTTAAACCTGCCTTTGCACCAGAAGGTTCAAACAGACAAATCAGGCAATTGAGAATTTACAAGAAATTTGTAAAATACCTAAAAGAAGTAGCAGGTAAGCATTGCATATACATTTACTAGTGCCTGTTTTACATTTACACTATCATCTGGAAACTAAAGTATCTCACATCACACCTGTTGAAACCATCAGATATCAACAATCTGCCAAAGCAATGCAAACATATTATAATGTTCCATTTAATAGTATTAAACATAAACTAAATGTCTTCCCTTATTTAGAGGAACTTTAAGAAAAGTAAATATCAATATTCTTATCAAACTTCAACACATAACTATAGAGATTGTCAAAGTCACTTAATTGGAAATTCAAGGTCAAAAGAAGGAGAGGAAAATGTACTTCTAAAAGTAGTTGTGCACAAGTGTACCCAGTATTAAAAATCTAGGGTTTGTAATTGTAGTTTAGTTTAAACATTTATTTATAGTGGATTGGGAAACAAGTTATTACAAATTATATAAATCCCTCTCCACTTTGCGGGAGCAAGTGCTGTCCTTGTAGCAGCATTAGCCTACTCTTTTTCGAAATCTACAAGGGTGTCTTTTACGTGCAAGAGATATTGCTCTCTCTCACACGGGTCAGCCATAAATCTCAAGACAATACTCGCAAATGGTGTCGAGGGAGAGCCGAAAATTCAGTCCCTGAAATTTTCTCCCCGGAACGGGGATCGAACCAGGAACCTTTGTGTTAGTAGTCCGATGCGCTAACCACTACACCACGCCTCAATTGTAATTGTAATCTTTGAGATATTGAGGAGTCCATCAAACTTATTGAAAATTCCTAAAAAAAATGTCAACCAGAATTTCAAGGTTGAGGTCAAATAACAGAGATGCAAAGTTACAGTACAACTTTGAGCATAAACCGATGGATACTGAGAATAATCTCAATGCTTGAACCTGGTTCTTTTCTTCGTTGTTAGTTTTGGTAGTTGACTTATCAGATAGGTAGTTGACCTTTAGCCACTGTATTAGATATAGGAAGGAAAAATATCTTCACTTACATTCAAATACTTACTACGACAAGGTTTAATCAATTTAGGGAAAAGATTGTTACATGCTACCTGCATAAAGTAATTAGCCAGTATGCAATAAATAATCAATTCTGAAAAGAGTATCATGTTATTTTAATGTTTTATTGAAACAAAGAATATCTCAAAATCAACACATAGATATCATAAATAAAGAAAAATAAGAAAAAACTAATTATATGAAATATCACAAATATAAGGTATTGAATAAAAAAGAATATATTAGTGAAAATAAAGGCTTGATGAGAAAGACCAGAGGTTCCCAGGAGTCTGATATACACACTGACTTAATTGCAAATCATTGTGTTTGCTAGTTACCCCACCTTTTGACAAGCATCAGAAACAGTTACAATCACACCAAGTTTGGTTACAATTAACCTTAAAGTTTTAGAGGAGAAAATAAATTAATAGAATAACATTAAAGATAAAAAATCAGAAAAAAATGCAATTTTTGGGTTTTATCTTGGAAAAGGGTCATGCTTCAAATTTGACCCTGAATCTTTTTTTGTAGATTTTGATGTTTTTATCAATAAGCTATTTTAAGTAATTTTCCTTTATCATAAATAATTTATTGTTGCTTCTTAATTTCCCCTTTTAAAGTGTGCTCCTCATCGCTGAAATACAGTTACAAACAAAATTGAAACTGAAGTAAAACTAGTATATCTGAATATTATAATTTGTCATCATAAAAGCTGCTATGTTTGGTGTACATAAAAAATTCAAATTCTGTGCAGAATATCTTAATCAACATTTATACATGTACCAAGTTTGGGTTCACTCTGTCTGGTTTCAGAGGAGAAGATTTTTGAATGTTGGTGAACGATGTATACTACAACCAAGTGATGACAATAGCACTCCATTAAATTCTTTTACATTAAGTTCATGTACATGTAAATGTTTGTATGCGATCTTAATTTTTGGTGAGCCAACCCCAAAATCAATAACAGTATCTTTCATTTATCAGACATGCTTAATTTAATTGGAGTAACAGTCTGATACCCGTTTTTCTTTTTTAGCTGGGAGAAGAGGTAATCTTACTCTCCGCCATATCCTCATGTTTGCAACAAGTTCGGAAGAAGAACCAATCTTGGGTTTTACACTTCAACCTTCACTCAACTTTGTACAAAGAGAATAATTCATGCCAACAGTAAACACCTGCATTAACAGATTGTTTCTCACTGAACCCGAAGGAAATGGAGAATTACCATCAGACAAACTATTGAACAATTTGTTTGACTTTGCATTTAGTAATACATATTATGGTTTATCCTAAACTTTCATGACTTCAAATAGCCCAAGTCTTTTTGGTATTTACTAACTGATATTTCTTATTAAAGATGATTTTTTTGTGTCCTAGAGAAAAGATGTAAACAAACTTTAGTGCCTACTTTACTGATCTTTTGTAAAAAATGTTTTGTAGTGTGCAAGATCACAAAACTATACTTAGTTCAAAAGTTAAAATATGTATGTTGTACATTTATTTTTACACAAAGTCCAAAGGTATGTAATCTGGTTGAATTACATGAATTCATTTAATTAATGAATGCCACCATCAGTCTTTTAGTTATTGTCCATTTCATAATATGGTTAAGAATACCCTTAATAAAACTGATGAACAGAAACTTCGGGGCAAAATCTAATAGAGCTTTATTTTTCAATGCCTTATAAATTTACTGTTTGAAATCTATGAATTGTTTAAAATACTAAGGATTTTCTAACCTTAGCCGTATATGGCACAACGTTTTGGAACTTTTGGTCCTCAATGCTCTTCAACTTTGTTAATTATTTGGCCTTTCAATTATTTTGATTCGAGCGTCACTGATGAGTCTTTTATAGACGAATTGCGAGTCTGGCGTAATATAAATTATAAGCCTAGTACCTTTGATATGTATTTATTGATGTTGTAAAATTTCTACTGCTTGTCTGTAAATGTTGATACCATAGTCTTCTGATATCCAGTTCTTTGGACAGTTCTCATTTAGTTGAACCATAGACATTGGATTTAACTGAATATCTAACCCTAACAGGTGTACACCATCAATTGTTTCACCTGGTACATCGTTGTCATTGGTCGTGTCATTATGAATTTGCTCTACTTGTACAGTTTCATTCATCACACTTGCAGTGAACATTTGCATAGGTGATCTATGTACAGTGCGAATGCGGTGATTGTCCCACGCGTTTTTCCAGATCTCCAATTTCTCATTAATTTTGTGAATAAACACATGGTGTAGAGCAAATAAATGATGCTCGTCCAGTGGGTTTAGTAACCCAATATCTTCCATGTAATAAAAAAGGTTATAGTAATAAGACAACACACCAGCATCAACATCTCTCCAGAGGCGTTCAATACGCTGGTTATGCACACTCTTTCCTGTTATCATACTTCTCCTACCAATACCCCGCTGTTGGATCATATAATCTGCAATAGGGTATTTTCCATTCCCTTATCTGACCTCACTCTAGTTGGAAGTCCATACCGAACAACAGACTGTTTAAAGCATTCAAGAAACGTTGGTGCTTTGTTGTTGTCAAGGCACCTCAGGAATGTTATCAATCTACTGAAACCATCTACACCTCCTGCGATTACAAACTTCCACCGAATTAATTTGTGGTTTGTGTCTATATGCCACAATCTATTTGCTGACTCTACACTGTATACTCGTCTGCTCAACCTACCCTGCCTTCTTTCCTGAATACCATGTTCATTTATACGGTGCAGACTTTCCCGTAACCTGTATCTCTGAACCTAAAATTAGAGGAATAATATATCAAATATAAAGTAAAAAGAGGGGATTTTCAAGGGAGTTTGAAAGATTGAAAAAAATTATCCTGAGTTGCCAATGTAAGAGCGATTTCTTAAGTTCATAAGTCCATTAACAAAGACAACACACAAAAAAGCTAAAACAAAATGGTGATTGTTGTCATGGAAACTAGGTAAAAAAAGTGAGAAAATTAAAAGTGCTCAGAATTGGATGGAACTTTACAGAAAAGTTGTCTGACATGCGTCAAATTGGTTTCTGGTCTTGGAATTTTCAAAATGGTGACCATTGCCACGAAAACGATAAAAAGTTAGGAAAATCAAAAATGCTCCAAACTTGATGACATTTAACATAAATCTTGCAAATTCGATCACCAATGACTTTATAATGCCATGAATCTGATATTGGGATCATTTGGGTGACTTCTGTGTTCGCATCCAAACACAATCATTACTTGTTCGCAGCATCAAAATCTACATAGAAAATTACAGTAACACATTGCTTAGGCTAAGGATGACAATCATGACACCTTCAAAGCGACAAAAGATTGAGCAAGAACATATTGACTTCTATTTCACTATTCTACCAAACAGAAAGTAATACTCTATAGACTATTATACTCTCATGAAAAAAAGTTCCACAGCAATATTATTTATCTACGAAAACATGTTTAACCCCAAACACCCCAGCCTTTTTAAAATAACATAGATGAATAATGATCCCCAGTCAGTATAAGCTCTAGATATATGTAAAGTCTAAGGTTGACTCTGATTTTTGCCTTAAACAAAAATTCTGGGTGTATCCGGATTGAAAACAATAATCTTCTTGTCCATTGTTTTTGCTACTAGACACGAAAATTTCTGACAGTATTATTTAGCATTAAATAAACATGATGAATAAAAACGGGAATATTTTTTTGGGGCAGGGGTTTGCATGTCCGAACGGAATGTCTGTTTCGCCGAACTGACATATTAAATACTTTTTTCAAGACCAGACTGCAACCTGTCTGCTGGGTGTGGCCTTCATGTCTCTATTTGTCGACCGTCATTCATAAATTCGTTGTCATTTCAGACTCATTCGTAGACTTTGGTTGATTTGGAACCCCTCACTTCTCTTAATTCTGTTGGGTGAAACATATCAACCAAATATTTGACTTAAAATTGCATGTTTGTCTTTTGTTTACAACAAGAAATCTGTCAGGTTATGATAACTTAGCCTACAACAAAACGGCGAGAATTTTCCATGACTATTTTTTACTGACAAGTCCCACATCACATTTATCAGTTCACAGCTATGGATCCATACTATCATTTTATGATAGACATCAATAGAGAGAATACAGCATCGAAAATGTCCAAGCCTTACACTTTACAGCAACTACAAAATATAAATGCCCAATGCCAGAAACCGTTTTTAAAAAGTGCATATTACACTTATTTTATGTTTTTAAAATACTTTTTATCTCCAAAAAGGTCCAAAAATTTTTTCGCCTCGCACCGCTCGGCGATCTTTAAAAATTTCGCCCCCCTTTCCAAAATCCTGGATCCGCCCCTGTTAATTAACAATTTACATTCCGGTTAATTGTTAAACAAATAATACTCATATACCATCCTTTGCTTCATAATACACAACATATAGTCCCTGGTTCCGTGCGGACTCGTGTGTGGACTTCAAAGATTAGTATATGCAAATCACTTAAAGCCAAACAAAAAAGTATGTGTGTTTACTGTCACATGCTGAAAAAAATAGGGTAGGTAGGTATAGGTTTTTTTTTAAAATTTTATTTATTTTTTTACATTGAGTCTATGGGAGCACATTGTGACTTTAACGGTGCTTAATCAAAAATGGTAAAAAAAACTTTAGGGTAGGGGATAAAAATTAGAGTAGGTAGGGGTACAGTAAATGCACATACTTTTTTTTTGGCCTTAGCTATAATCATCACATCCACTTTAATACTTTAGACCTTTTTCAGTCTGTCAGCGAAAGGTCATGGTTTACACATAAAAAGTCTCCAAATCTGCTTTCATTATTATTTATTTATTGCTATTGATGAGCTTATTTTAGGTGGTCGCCATTTTGTCTCTGTACTGTGTTTTATTGGTTCTGCCAGGGACTTCTATATAGTCCCTGGTTCCGCAGAAGGGGTTTTCCATTCATTTTAGTTTTTTTTTTGCAATGTCTTGGGAGTGTAATGACTCGATCTACCTTAAACTATGTATTATTTTAATAATCACTTGGATAATTTTAATGTATAGTTTGCATAACAACATCAAAATAGCTATTCAATTACCTTTAAACTCCGTTGCGACAAAAGCTGCATCAAGAGAACCTCTCCACAATTGGGGAATTCTTTGTTTATACTCAGTACTGTCGTATCTAAGTCATGATCGGAAACTAAGGAAAAGTTCTGTTTGCTCAAATTGTAAGCTCTCATGTGTCGGTAGAGCGTGCTTTCCGATAAATTGAACATTCCACTTATGTCTTTGATCTTAAAGTTTATCTCTAACAAAGATTTCAGTGTCTCCTTCGGATTGAAAAATTTGTCATTATGTTCCAATACAATGTCACTGTAATGGCAGCACATGATTCTCAACTCCATCATCTTAGCACGGCTACTAAGACCTAGTTCAAGGAAATCTTTCTGAGACAGTTTAGAAATAATGTCCGGAGTTATATTTTCTCTTTCAAAATTCTGCTTCAAATTATTCAAACCAGCTCTTTGGAGAATTTCATCCATTTTAAAAACCAAAACATCAACAACCCTTTGGAAAAATATGCCAACAAAATTGCCCGACTTCGTTTCAACTAGGAATATTTCGGTTTTACTTACCCGAAGTCTTGGATAATTTTAATGTATAGTTCCACCACCACATGATGAAAAAAGCACTGAATATAATCGATTAACCACTTAGTATAATATTTATTGAACCTAACAAAAACATTTTGACCACTGATCATAAAGTTGTTTGTACTGAACATAAAATTTATTTTACAGAACATAATGATCAGTCTACAGAACATAATATTTATTTCACTCAACATAATGATAACAGTACTGATTATAAAGTGTGTTTGACCACTGAATATTTCGGTTTCTGTAGTCAACATAATGAGAAATCTACATAATATAAAAATATGTTGACAGAAGATATTTTCAAAAGTACTGAATATAAAGACAAATCTACTCAATATAATAATTTACCTACTGAACATAAAGCCAAAACTGCTAAGTATATTGATTAAAGTGCTGAATATAATACCAGATCTGCACAATATAATGATTATTCTACTGATCATTATGATGTTACTGCTCAACATAATTGTTATACTACTGAACATAATGACAAGGGCACTCATAATCGAGAAAAAACCGCTGAAAATAATTAAATGATCACAGCATATACTAAAATGGAACAACGGAAGACAGCTATGGCGTTCCATAGTTTACATTTACAAATTATGACTTGGATGGAGAGTTGTCTCATCGGCACTCATACCACATCTTCTTATATCTATATACAACGTAAACCAGACGTTTCTCAGACTGTTTTCTTTTTTTAATAAATCCTTTGCCGCGCGTTGTGTACTGATTGATAACTCAGTCTGGGATAACAAGATTTATTTCAGTACCAGTTGTAATTAGGTTTGAGCAAACTTCCAGTAATTGCAAATACTCATATGTCGGTGCTTTGTGTCTATTGTCTTAATGTTAGTTTTTTTGTGTGTCTCGTACCGATCTTTTGAGTTAATTTGCTGATTTGTGCAGGTTGTTATTTTATTGTACTGTTACACCACTGTCCCAGCTTCGGGATGGGTTGCTCACAAACATGTTGTTGTACTGTTACACCGCTGTCCCAGATTAGGGGGAGGATTGGGAT